GTCCAAGACTGGTGATTCCATACTTTTTGCCAGGGTTTGTACTAACCTGGAACGTCACCGGCTCCACTGAATCCTGTCCCTGTACCATGTGTTTGATCCCCAGTGCCCTCCCCTCCTTAGCTGTTTTGCTCTAGCGAGTCATTTCTTTTCTCATTTGTTTGTTTGTTTGTTTGTTTGTTTGTTTGTTTGTTTGTTTGTTTGTTTGTTTGTTTGTTTGTTTGTTTGTTTTATGCACATGATTCTGTGTTTATGAGCAAACATAGGTTCAGAGCATCTTTTTTTAACTCATCCACCCTACTGTGAATTTCCAAGCTGCAAAAGGTAGTGTGACCATGTTGCACAAAACCTGATCATCCATTCTCCCCCGTGTTTGTTATACGTATGTAAAAAGAATGGATGTTCTTAACTGCAAGTTCCTAGTCTGTGAATGTTCACTGACAATGGCAATAAAACTGATTCTGATTCTGATATTTGACCTAATGTGTGCGAGGATCAATGAAAGTCTGGTTGCTCTGCAATACTGTCACTGGTTCTTATTGTGACTGTAAATCCTTTCACCACCAGCAGGGGGTGCAATGACACCGCCTGACACGAGTGACGTGTGTCGTCTGTTGCGTCTCCTGAAGCACTTCCGGTTCGTTCTTCCGACACATAACTCGTGACAGATTTTTTTTTTAATTAATTCCCTTCAGTCACATGTTTTGATGGGGACTAGCAACAAGAACCGGCTGCCGGTGTTTTGGGAAATCTTGTAAATATGGCTTTTCGACGGACACCGTAGGCGTAGTTAAATCTGCCGCAGAGGGCGAAGCATGTGGAGGGTTCAAGGTTTCATAAGAGGTGAGGGAAATAATGACAATGAGACTTGAGGGGAGAAAGAACATCATAACAACCTGACACTATTATATGTTTCAATCCAGAACTGAACAATATTCTTTACGGTTCCTAAGCCGTGTGTAGACATTAGTGTTTAGCTCAAAGATGATGACGTAAATGTCTGACAGGACTGACAGGATTATTTTGGTCCGGTTCAGAGGTTGTCTCTTGACTTTAGGCTCCAGTTTGTTTTCATTGTGAGATAAACAACCTAAGAGGCTCGTTTATTATTTAGTTGTTACGTCATTGCCTCGTAAATCTGTCTTACAYTGTCGATTAGTCCAGGCTCCCTGTTGGTTTGCTGTCACTCAGTGAGAAATATTGTCATTATTATCTGTTGTTGATGTAAAGCTATAAAAATAATAGCTCTTSTTAGTTTTATGTGTGCCTCTAGGTAGTGCTTTTTACATTTGTTCTTTGATACTGTTTTTTGTATGTATTAATATTAATATTAAGAGCTGCTTTTCTGTGCTCGTAGATAAAACAACCACAAACTTGAATTTTGGGAATATGTACATGTCAAATATATACATACGTTTAAGATAATTTTCAATCAATTGGGTTTTAATTGACAAAAATATTTATGCCATGGGTAAACGTAATTTTACTATCCATTTATTTATTTTTTCAAAAAGATCCAACAAATGCATTACATAACAATAAAAAACCACAGGTATTCAACATATAGAACGAACATCTAAAGTTTGTTCCAAACTCTGAGTGTTCAAGCATAGTGATTACAAAGTTTTCAACTGTTGTTTGAATTTTTGAAGAGCATTTCTACACATAGCTAAATAAACTGAGGTTCCTGTTTGAGACATGTCTGAATTTTTGAAGATAAAGGGATCCTTTTGTTTAACCACATATTTTCTGTTTCTCTTCTTCTTTCTGCCACCTGTCAGTTTTGCTTCGATACCATGGCAGCAGCTCTTTGCGATTGCCACCGAACCCGCATGTGGAGGACGAGGTCATCAACAGTTCGGCCTCTCTCTCCACGACTCGACACCCGCTTGACAGCAGGTACTTTTAACATTTCTTTTCTTTTCTTTTGTTTTTTCTAACTTCAGCCAGGTCTGTTAAAAAAACAAAAAACAAAAAAGAGCATATAGTAAGATGAAAGAAAGAGACTTTGAACTTTTCTTTTGCATTTCTGAAGCTGCTGTCCTGATTTATCTTTTGATAAAAAGGGAATTTTATGTTGAAGGTTAAACCTCAAACAGAAACCTCTTCGCTGTCCTTTCCTGCTCCTTTACCCTCTTTTTGAACCTGTTTAGTCCTTTTCCTGATTTTTCAGCTGCTTGCATCATCCAGCAGCATCTGCAGTGTGTTTATGTTCGTGTGTCTCCACAATGTTAGTTTGACAAACAGAAACAAATCAYTTTGGCTTTAACTGATTATTACATATTCTTGCACTTGAGTGGAAATGTAAAAAGATGATTAATTGTTATGTGCTGTGGTTATTGCAGATCTCGGAAGGATGACAGGGAGAAGAGGAACAAGCAAAGGACCTGTCAGTTTGGGGATACTGGGCTTCCATGTTACACAGCTCTGGATGCTGTGGGATGGGTGGGTTTTCATTGTTGCATTTTCAAATATTAAAATGCAACCAAAGACTAATTCATCTGTACATCCAGCATTGTCTTGTAGATGTCGTAGGCTTATCAAATCGTACAATTTAATTTTAACATCGATACCAGAACTCTCTGTTTTTTAACAATTTAGACAAACTCAACAAATAGTGCCTAATAGTTCAGCTTTATCAACATTCAGAACCAACTGTTATCACAGTAAACGCCTTAAAARCACCTGCAAGTTATTKATTTTGCCCTAATTCTGCTTGAGCRYAGTCACTCCTGATTTATCAGCTTTATCCAGCTTTCTTCAAAAGCAGATGTCAATGCATGATTTGCTTAAACTAGTAAATTCTCCCCCTTTGAATGTGAAGCTTTATTTGTAATTAAAACCTCAGAGTTTAAGTTCTCCATGTGACACACTGGCTGTTCATTGCTGACATGCAGGATGTCCTTACAGACAGCAGCARGTGTGATGACGGCCTTGTGATCGTCGTGTTTGCATTTCTCCACAGGGAATGGTCACAGTGCTGTTCATGCAGGCCTGCAGAAGGTTCCACTCCACATTCTCCTCGGGCTCTGAACCCAGTCCCGGTCCTGAATCCCTGACAGCTCCCACAGCTGTGCAGAAGTGTGGATACCGGATCCTGCTAGAGATATGTAAGCTCCTCTGGCATCACCCATCGTGCACCCATGGGAACTGAACCTCTTTAATCCCATCAAATGAAACTCAAATCAAAGAGTACTTTTGCACATTTTTGCATCCTAAACATGTTTTCTTTTATTCTTTTGTAACTAAAATCCTGACCCTGTTCTGTTGCTTCTGTCTGCAGTATCGAGGCGCGATGTCGTGCCCAGAAGAAGAAATGTGTTGTGCCTGGAGGCCGTGCCGCAGAGTCAGAGCCAGGATCAGTCTCTGTCTAGCAGCGGCAGCGAGCCCGAGAGTCTGACGTCTGACAGTTCCTCCTCTGACCACCAGGGGGAGTTTTACTATGAGAATGGTTGGTTCTGTGCCTCTAATGCCTACACTCTTATCAAATATTTTTTGAAAATATTGTCTTTTCTTGTATTTTCTAACTCATTATTTTCTGGAGTGTGAAAGTGCATCATTTTATGTCCCTTTCACACAGAAGAATTACCTTTATACGAGTCCTGTCCTCTGCGGAATGATGCCAATCCAAACCCCACAGAGAAAAAAGATGATATGGTGAATGTCTGCCTTTCTTCATTTAATTTATCTATTTTATTTTAATCCACATCAAGACTTGACTAAATATTTATGTTTTTGTCTAATTTCGTGTGTTTGTCCACTTTTGTGATTCTAGGCAGCATTGGCTGAAGAAAGGCTGYCGGAAGCAGCTCTTAATTTCCAACATGTGGGAGACAGCAGCGTTCCTGTTATCCTCAACATCATTGGTCAGAACTCACTGACAAAATTACTTGATATTACATATCCATTACAATTCATGATATAAAAAAATATTTTAGTGTTTAAGCTTGTATTTTTTTCTATACATCCAACAGGTTTYGAAAGTGCCAAGAGTGAGAAATATGAGGAAGCTTTTACCTGCTTTCTGGCTGCAGCTCAGCAGGGTTACAACAAGGCGCAGTTTAACACCGGAGTGTGCTACGAGAAAGGAAGAGGGGTCAGAAAGGACAAAGCAAAGGTACGTTTTTTGATATTAGTTAATTTTGACTCTTTAGGTTTTTTGTTTCCTTAGGAAACCTTTAACAAGCAGAGTCTGAATGTTTATTACAGTTTAAAATGCATAACTTTGTAGGTTTATTGGATTTTTTCGTTTCAGTCATCACTATCAGACCAATTGGCTTTATGCCTCAAAATTCTGTTATGAAAAAATTTAAAGAAGTAATAAAAAAGACAGAACAATAAAAACAAACTGGTTCTAGAGTATCTTTTGGCACATTGCTWTTCAAGTAARGRTTCTGCTAACACTTACCGTACTTCYTCTTATAAGAATCTACAAAATAATGTTTATTCTAATCATAATTGTATTTTAACTTCATTATTTTAAGATCCTCTTTATTTTCTCTCCAAGGCTCTGTATTATTACAGGCAGGCAGCAGCCGGTGGCCACAAACAAGCTCAGTATCGTGTTGCAAAGCTGCTTTTGACCAGCAGGGGGCAGCAGAGTGTGGAGGAGTTAAACACAGCTGTTAACTTACTGGAAGAAGCTTCTAAAGCTGGACTCACCAAGGTACAAAACACAACACTGTCCTTTAAACACATCTTTGCATCTCTAGTGCAAATTTATACGAACTATTTGTAAATACTTGATTCTTATAAATCGTATTGTAATTTTAGCTGTATTGTTTTGTATTCTTGTCATTTAAAAGTGGCATTGAAACTGTTTATAGAAAAGAAAAATACATTTTACAGTCTAAGAAGCACGGACTAGGTTATTTATAAAACAAGGCAAATTATTTTTGATGAATGGGAATGTTCAGTCTGTCAAACTGTCACAACTGAATGAACACTTTCAACAACACAGTTAAATGTCCATTACTAAAAGAAAAAAAAGGAACCAAAAGATACATTTTTTGTGTCCTCATATAAAATTGTATATGTTTTCTAAATAGTAGCTGCTAAACATGATTGTCCGCATAATTCAATGTCAAAATGACTTAAAAACATCAAAGTAACTTACAAATWTAATATTCTTTTGTCATTTAGGATTATTATTCCAGGATTGGTTTTTTCTGTAAGCTCTTTACTTATCTTTATTTTCTCTGTTAGTATCCATGGTTCTAAACTGATTTCAAAGTCATCTGATTAAAGCAAAACATTTTATTTCTCCTGTTCAGGCTCGGGTTTGCCTGGCTTCGTTGTACTCTCGAGATCCAGCGAGATATGGATGCAAGTCTATCGAGTACCTGAAGATGGCAGCAGAGAGTGGYGTGAGTCTTCTAGAGCTTTCTAAGACGTTTGTCGATAACTTTTGGACTATTGGAGATAAATATACCCATGAGTCTTTGCACTGAGACAGTTGAAGACSAGAACATTGTTTGTTTGTTTGTTRGCTCAGGACGACACCGCCCTGTTTTTCCTGGGTCAGTGTTACGAAAGCGGCTTTGGCGTGCAGCGGAATTTGAGGGCGGCTGTTGAATTTTACAGAAAGGCAGCACAAGCAGGAAACAAGCAAGCGAAGAGCTTCCTGACACCACCTCGRGACATATACAGTAAGGGTAAGAAAGTAGACACGTTTATGTTTGTCCTTACATTTTGTTTCTCGTGAGCAACAGGAGTGTTTTAACTCTGTTGTCTGTCTCTTCGTAGCGGATGATGCGGTGTTGCGCTCCATCCGCTCAGCTCCGTGCTTCTCTGCGCCAGAGGCTCTCGGCCAGCGACCACCTTCCTCGCTGGCCGCTCATGTCCCATCCTCTGCTGGTCACCCTGCTTCTCTTCCTCTTCTTCCTCACTCCTGGAGCACCGGGTCCTTGTCATCGTTCTCTCCTCCTCTTCACCTCCATCTTCCCATCGCTGGGAGCAAACCATGCCAGTGGACTGTAGGTATAGGATAAAGTCAGTACGAGCCAAACAACTTGTATTACAAAGTGTGAGTGTAGTTTTGCCAAAAGGAAAAAGGTCAGTGTGTTAAGTGTGTACATATTGGGAAGTTCATAAAAGTGTTCATAGTTTTTTTATAAATATATTTGTGGGTGCCGGCCAAAAATCTTGTTTTTTAAGTCTACGAGAGAGGCTTAGCAACAAACTTGTKAAATCAAAGGAGCTTACAGTCCTTTGATTGATAGAGATGATGTTATTTTTTTTATCAGGTCTCTGTTGTGGCAAAAAAAAATAAATTCTACGTGCCTTTGATTGCATTTCTCACCTTCCGCACAAGTTAAAAGAATTTACTGTAGATTTTTTGTTAGCCACCGGAGTTGCCAAGTTTACTTTAACATTTCAAATGTTTGTGATGARATGCCAAGTTCAGAATCGCTACATGTTTTATCCTTCAACCTGTTAACCAGATATGCTAATGTGAATTATGATGCACTGTGAGGAGGTTGTTACTGTTAAACGCACATTTTAAAACATAATGAATAAACTAGCAAGGCTCTACGGTATCTTTGTCATTTGTGTGAAAACTCACTCAGAATAATGGCTTGATTTGTTGGATGTGAAGTGGTGGACATTCCTTACATTCTCACAATATTTAAAGGTGCCAGTGCATAAACACAGAAGTACCCTTTTTCCAATTCCTATTAATATAGCACTTTAGATGTAATATATATAAACAGATTTGGTTCACTATTTGGCAAGAAACTGGACAGTTTTGTCTCTTTCTTGTTAATGCATAATGTTTATTATTACTACGAGAAAGAGACAAAACTGTTTATTAACCTATAACCAATAAATTAATAATCTATAAACTATTTCTCTTTCAAATACGAACAGCTTGATCAACAATAGAGCTATGATTTTTGGTTGTATTGTTTCGGACAGTGTAAACAAAAATCTACGAGCAAAAAAGAAAAAATGCTGAGATTAATGAAGTTGTTGAGAAACAAACACAAATACTTAAGTTTGAACAGGTCACAAAAAAAAAGCTGATGATGTAGTTTTTGAACAATCTCAATATTTCACCATATTTGCAAGGTTTATTTTATTTTTAATTTTTATGTTGTTGTTATCCACCCCCACCCACGCAGAATGGTCAGCTGATGTCCCACGCTAACTTTAGGACTGTCGAAAACATAAATAAATGAATCATGTTTTGGAGAGTTTACATCGTTTTTGGTAGGCTACAGTTTTGCATCAAAACATTTTTATAATTAAACTTCAATTCCTTCAAAAAATAGACTACTGTTTGAAATCTGCTTTGTGGTCTACTTGCTCTYTTTTTGTCTAATGCAGGTTTTGCTCCCTTTAGCTAGTAATTTGCTCCTTTTAGATACTTTTGCTATTTTAGCTTTTTGATAGCCTTTTGCTACTTTTACCTAAACCTTTGCTGCCTTTAGCAGGTATTTTGATACTTTTATTGTTTCGCTGTTTAGTTTCTAGTTCATCTTTGATACTAGGCCTACTTTAGGTTTTTGCCAGGCTTTTGCTACTTTTTAACTATGCTGCTTTTAACTAGTATTTTATTTTATTTTATTTTACTGTCTTTAGTTTTTATCTACTCTTTGATACTTTAGCTTTTTGCCATCCCATCATGGAGTGTCTCATATGTATGTCCATGAGGGCTGGGCTCCGGAAGGGGGATGACACTTAAATAAATAAAAATCAAATCAATCAATCAAATCATGCTAAATTAGACCACAGGTGTGTGTTTCTCTCTCTTTCTGAGGAGCAGTAATGTGAGTGTGGCGCTCTGAGCGGGTTCCTGCATGATGTAACAGCCGGGATGATGATGATGATGATGATGATGTGTGATTTTATTACCTGAGCAGCTAAAATACCACCGTCGGATTCAGGCGGTCTGCGTGTCCTCAGTCCGCGGCTCTGATTGGCCAGCTGGCTCAGAGAGCTCCACAGCGCCGCGTCACTCCGGGATCATCTGGCGCAGAGAGAGAGCGCAGCTCCGCCGCCAGTAGCGGAGCCACCGGGCGATTGGGGGMGCTGGGAGAGGGGTTGGGATGCGATCTGATGCGGGCGGAGTGCCGCTTAAAAACAGCCCCTGACTTCGGCCCTGCTCGCCGCCGAGTGTCGGGTCGTCGCCGGAAGGGAGGCGCAGGACGAAGCGGTGAGTGGACGTAAACAGATGCTCTCTCGGTGGGGCGCGCTCCCCTCCCAGTGCGGCGTGTTCTTCAGGAAGGGGAGAGAGGGACAGGATGCGAAAGATTTTACTGCGTCTGTCATTAAATAGACAAATTTAGCTTTCGGCTATGACATCATCTTCACCTACTTATCCTGGGGATTTAGATTTGTCATGATGGAGCTGTTTCTGGATGATGTCAGGGGAGAGAGAGTTTTATTGAGGCTGCAAGAAGCGAGAGGTGCTCGGGTACTCCACCCATGACATCATCGACTTTTCCAAGTTCATTTTCCTCCCCTGCTCGTGCTTTCATCTGTTGCATTCCTTTTTTTGTGTGTGTGTTTCTTGCAGAAGTGATGCAACTCGGAACTGAGGACAAATACATTGAAGATATGATGTCATAATGTTATAAATGATGTCATCAATATGTAAAGCCTTATAATGAAATCAGTTGAAAATTCTAAGTCTTGTGTGTYGAAAAAGAAGCAAGCTCAAGGATGCCTTGTTTGAAAAAGACCCATTTCTGATTCTTTGCTCTAAAAATAGCAGGACCATTCTTTTTAAATCTGTCCTCAGTTCTTTTTTWAATCTTTTTCAAGGTAATTTATGACAGATCACTCCTGAGATATCAATGCTAAAATTCAAAAGGCATCCAAATAAAAGAAGCAACAGGAATAAAAAATAATAATAATGGCAGACGAAGACATGATGTTTCTGTTGCTCACGACCAGCTTCCTGAATGACCTCCACTGTTATGATGCACAACAAGTATTTAGTGACTTTGCTAGTGGATAATAACCACCTTCTTCGTGTTGACGGTGTCCTGCTGTCTTGCAAACTGCTGTGTCATTCTCCTCACTTTCCRTCGCCAATAACCATCCCTTTCTCCTCCTCACACTCCCCTGTATCCTCTTCTCTGCCCCACTTTGCTACCAGAGACCCGGCTGCGTCGTTGATGATCCAGTTTGTCTGCAGCTCAGACACAATGGGGAGTTGAAATTCTATACATTAATCATTCTGACAGGCATTTTTATGTCAGGAAGACCTTAGCTTTGAGTTTCACCTTTAGAAGCATACGTTGTGGCCGTGTACCAACTCAAGTCTATATGAGAGAGTAATTCCATYCAGTTTGCACAATAAGATTCCCTGAACCTGACGAGACGGGTCACTGTAATGCGTGCACTTGTTGACATCGTGTTTGAGTCGCAGGCCTGCCGACGAGCACATCYGTCAGCACTAACAGGTTGTTTTCGGGCTCAGTGTGATAACAAAACATCCCCCCTTGCAGAAGAGAGCAGCTAGAGGCCCCGCAGGGAACWAAGTGCACCATCCAGATATTCTGCCTCTTGTATTTTCCCAAGCTTTTATCGTGCTTTAAAATCTGCTGCGTTTGACTTTTCCATGTCTCTGGAAAAAAAAGGCAGATGATGACTGCAGCTTTCTTCGAGGAGGAGGCATGCATGCTCAGGATTGGGTGACGGGGGTTGTTTAGCCATCATGGTTGCGTGTCTCTGGACTTGTTTTTCTACCAGCTCTCCARGGGGTCGACCAGGCTAATTAGTTGGGATTTTATCCACGTCATGTCTTAGGATCTGAATGATTTCCTGCCACTCTCTCTGTTGCTACCCATCTGCCCGTATTCAGCATTACAGAGCTGATCCACCCAAGAGATGAAAGAGACACTTCTAGCTAGTTAGCAGGAACTGGCTGCCTCATCTCCCTCTCCGCAGACTAGCTTACTCCTCAGCTTTAAAAAGCCAGCGCCGGTTGAGTAAATTGAGGGTCTGACTCATTCCTGGTGTCATTTAAATGCATCTGAGCGCTGCAACTAGTTTGATGCAGTGTTTTTTTAACACTTTAGTGGTGATGTCTCATTTGTAAGTGTGGGGCGTGATGCTAGAAAGGAACCTGCATCACATTGTATCAATATTCCATTGAGCTGCAGCCAAAGATATGGTGAGAAAACAGGTTGACCATTCAAATTGTCTTGCAAGAAACTTTAAAAAATGTCTTGGGGAAAAAAATGCGTGTTGCCACACAAACACGGGCAAAAACATTGTCAGATGATAAAAAATATTCAATAAATTTATTCTAAAATGATAACTGTTGCATGATGTCTAACAGTAGATTCCTCTTCTCCCATCAGCTCCATCCTCGAGGCGTCTCTCCAGTCAGACACAATGTCAGTACAAACTCCTCCCCTCTCCCGCTCTGGCTCCACCCCCTCCACAGGGGGTCTTGCAAATCGTAGCGGCTCCTCAGCCACACCTCCCACCTCTCTCAGTCTCCGCTCTTCGTACAACCAGCTGCTCAGCCGCGACGTCATCAAGGAGTCCACGGAAACGGGAGGCTCGGCCACCTTACCAAAGAGCCGTCAGCGGTACGCCATGACCAGTGTACGGAGTGCCATGGGGATAAGTGACAACCTGGCTTTGTCCTCCAAATACCAACCTGGAACCAGAGGTAGAGGCCTCCCGACCAAGTCCTCCTCCAGTTCCGCCCTCTACTCCTCATCGCTCTCATCGTCCTCCTCCATCTCTAACAACCCCAAGCTGGCCAAGAATGGAGCCAACATGCAGAGACGGGCTGAAAGCCAGCAGCTGGAGTTGAGTCGGGCCAATACAGTTGACAAAATTCACAACGATCTCATTAATAATCCTGGTTCTGATTGGCTAGAGTTCGGGAAAGACAACTCGCAGTTGCCCCCGTTTCGTAGAAGGACCAAGAGCTTCTTGGACTACCACAGCAAGGGCTGGGATCTGGAACCCAGTTGGGAAAAAAAGGAGGACAAGGAGGAAAATAAGCAGCAGCCCTCCTCAGAGAAGGAGCAGGACAGCCCAGTTAAAGACAGAGAGAGCCAAAAAGAGGATAAGACCAACAGCAAGCAGGCCTGCAACGAGGAGAAGGCAGAGCCTGTAGCGGAGGAGGATGAAGCGGAGGATGAACCCACCCCAACACCAAGACAACCCCTGCTACCGGTGGTGGTTGAAGCTCCTCTTTCCTCCACCTCCTCCTCCTCTACCAACAGTCCAGAGTGGGTCCCCAACATCCACAGCCACCTGCAGAACCAGCCTCCAGCGCAGACCAAAGAGGAGATGTCGGTCCAAGTTCAGGCGAGTCCACGTAGTCCTGCAAAGCCTGCTCGGAGCTCCCAGCCTCGAGTGATCAAAGTGGAACTGCACCCCAACGATGAGAACCAGATTTTTCAGCAGTTCCCACCGTTTTCCCCCAAACAGGTCAGAGCTGCTGAGAGAAACACTCAGGCACCGCKGACACAGCAAGATCCTGAGCCGGAGACTGCTACCCCTAAAGTGGGATTAAGAATGGACATGACTCCTGACACTCCTTCAGGAGATGAAGACTCTAGCTGGACCACGCTGTCCCAGGAGTCCCCCTCTCCACAGACTCCAAAGGAGACAGGTTTGTTTGGTTGATCTAATGCATAATTGGAAATGTTTTGCTTTTAATTGTGCCTCAGTTGGAGCCCATTTCTTTCATACATTCTGTTGGGTCTGGAATTTTACAAGAAGAAAACCTGTTTTTTTAGCAAGTAAGTCACTAACAGCAGTGCTGCGAGAACCTTTAAGGCCCCCTTGAGCAACTTTATGGTGCAGAGAGCGATTACGATGGAAAGAACAGGATACTGCAGAGAACAGGGTGTGAAAAGACAAGATGGTGGGAGGTGTTTTTTCATGAATGTATACAGTAAAAGATAAAGATAAAACATATACACCTTACTGTTCCAAAAGGAAACTTGTCCAGCTCTTTAAGCTGCCAAATCTTAGCATACTCAACATACACTTCCACCAGAAAATGTCCCTTGATGGCAGAGGATTTCGCAGATTGGTAACACACTATGATTTAAGTAAAGAAAGTGTTTGGTCATAATGCATATTTTTCTGTGCCTTATAAATCACAGATTTTTCTCATAAAAAGATTAATATAATGTCTTTTCTTTGCCGTAATCTTTAGAGCTGTTGCCTTGCAATTTAGACTCTAAGTTCTTATGTCGAAGCAATAACTAAACAGTATAAGATCAAGACAAAAGAAAGAGGGAAGACTGTTTTTAATGGGTAGTATTGCAGGGATCTAACCCAGAGTTGCTATGACATCATAAATTAACTGTGAATACACTGACCATCACTGAAATTTTCTCTCTCACCATTTTATGTCACCATCATATGCGTTCTCACAGATCCTGTGTGTGTTTTAGTGATATATTCATGTGCTATATGTGTTCTTCCCTCTGCAGACGTATGGGTCGAAGGGGACCTGCCCCCAGGCTGGCGGGAGATCTCAGATTCCTCAGAAGTTTATTTCTGGCACGTTCCCACTGGCACAACGCAGTATGACCGACCAGTCGCCTCCGTCGACCAACAAACTGCTTCCATCAATGAACCAGATCCTGAGCCTGACCGACAGAAAGATACACAGGAGTCCCTGAAGCTGCCGAACGAGGTGAAAATGCCCTCAGATCCAACATACCTTAGAGCAGTGGTTCTCACTTCTACTCTGTAGGCGTGCACCAATTGCAGTTTTCTGACCAATCACCGATCTTTAAAAAGTCTGACCAGCCAATTCCGATTTTGTCTGATATAGATTTTTTTTTAAAATAGCTGACACTGCCAGGTGATATAAGGTCACAATACACCTTCAATGTTCCAATTTTYTTTTATGGAAAAACACTGAACAATGTCCTTGTAGTATCCTAGCAAAAGAGGACAGTGACTGATTTTCAGACCTTTGCAGAGGTAGATGAGAAGCCTCTCTTTTTTCACCGATCTTATCTAAGCATTGGCTGATCTCCCAAAATAAAAAAAAAACGGTTATCGATTCACTTCTACTTCTCTGTCAGCCCCCCCCCATCCCCTCCCCCCAGGGAGTTTAAATCCACTCCCCTGAGAACCTGATAATGTTTAATTATGTATCTGTTCAAACTATGAAAATAACTTTCTGGCACCAGCATTCTGCATACAATCTCTTGATAATAGTAGGGTAAACACTRCATTAGATATATGATAGATTAGACCTTTATTGTCATTGTACAGAGCACAATGACATTACAGTTCAAAACYCCTATTCAGAAGAAGACAYAACATAACAAACATAGGAGAACAGGTGCCCTGGGTCATGCTGCCACTGARCCTGCACAAAGCAAGGATCATCTTCATGAAGACATCATYAGGAGGTGCAACCCTTAACAGAAAAACTTAACCACACAAGGAAAGATTGGGTTTAGGCATTGGCATTAGGTAAAAGAAATTACCTTTTGAATTTTGTTGATTTTGCTGCCTTGAACCATTAATTTAGAATTTAACATTGATTTAAAATCTATTTTTATATTAAATGAAGAAAAAATGTTTATTTACTTTTAAATACGTAAGGTATCCTGATTTCAATGGTGCTCCATCAAGGCCAATTATGGATCAAGCATTAGTGTTGTAGTCAAGGCCACCTAACCCAAGACCAAGTCAAGACCACAGTGTCTCGAGACCGAGACAAGACCAAGACTTTTAGGGTTTGGACCAAGTCGAGCCCAAGACCAAGACCAGGAAAAAAAAATTAAAAAAATAAACAAGTGTCCTAAAAG